GATTGAGTTAGGAGAGATTTAAGATTTGAAGTTCTTAAATGAAATCTTGGAATAGAGTTCATAACTAGAATTGAAAGTTATATTTGACTTGTCATCAATCTAGTTAAGATATACGAAGTGTTAAAAACGGAATTCAAACATGTTGATTTATTAATGTAATTCTTGAATTACATATGAATGATAGGATTTGAAGGTTTAAGATGAAATAAATGAGTATAAATTGGTTTAAGGATGTGTACTAGAGTTAAGAATGAAAAAGGGGATTAAACATGAAGGATTTAATCCAAATGAATGAACTTTCGGGTTCAAAAAGAGGATTCTGGGCAGAGTGCACCGATGCACATTCATAGTGCATCGATGCATCAAGATTAAAACCTAGAAATTGTTTGAATGTGCACCGATGCATTGGTAGTGCATCGATACACTCTTTTAAAATAAAGACATCGAATGTAATTCGTCCATCGATGCATCCCTTATAGTGAAACATCGAATGCAATCGGTGCATCGATGCATAAGGAGTGCATCGATGCATCCCAGCAATAATACTACATCGAATACCTTTTATGAACCGATGTATCAGTAGTGCATCGATGCATACCTTCATTAAAAGATGAAATTGACTTTTCTCTTAGTCTAAAGAGTGAATCATTAGAGTATATTAGTTATAATACTGATATAGATCAATGTGCGATTATGTAGATACTAAAAGTAAGCTTATTCCGGAACGATCAAAGGATTAGAATCGAATCAAAGTAAAGCTAAGGTAAGTGCATACTATATGTATATTATAATGGAATAAGACTTGTGATAAGTCTAATCCCTATGTTGATTTTTATAATACAGTAGTTGTGAACATGCATACATGATAATTATTGTGATACATGCATAAGATATATATATATATGTTCATGTGATATGATATGTGATATGACCTGTGATATGAGAACATGATATGAAGTGATATGAGATACATGATCACAAGAGAAATGATATGAGTACATGAACATATGAAATATAAGAATAATGCCCATAGTATACGATATGAGAATTATAGGTGTAATTGGCATGCCAAGAGTCGAGGGTATAATAGTCCTTCGGGACGTAGTCCTTCAGGATGTAGGAGTCCTACGAGACGAATACTGAACTAAGGTTCGGTGCCCCATGAGGGAATAGATACGAGCTGTGGTGACAGTATTAGTGCACAACCTCAATGCACTCACATACCTCTAATCTCAATAATATACATGGGCTATGCAATTTAAATACCGATTTACAGTGAAAGTGATACAAGAAGGTAAGTTTCGTATGTGCATTATATGTTATCGTGCGATAGATACATGCATATTGAAATGTCATGATCCAATTGTAAGTATGAACATTCATAAGTTTATTGTTGCATATTCATTTATTACCTGACTAAGTCTATGACTTAGCGTGTAAGTGATTTACACGTAGGTACCAAGAATCAGGAAAAGTGGAAATAGAAGTAGCACGGACAACAATACTACTAAGAGAGATCAGATCAGAAGTAATTGACAAAGTATGTACTTGGTTATGTATAGAGTGTTGGCATGTAATAAGTGCTAATTACGAATACTCTGATCGATTTTGTATTTTATGGTCTTATGTAAATTAAAGTATTTCGTTTTAATGAAAGTTTTAAAAATTCCCAGGATTTTCTATAAGAGTCAAGGTTTTGAAAAGTCAATGTGACACCTCAGACTTGTATTCGGGTCGGATATGAGTTAAGGGTGTTACAATTATGATGCGGTGTCATGGGAACTGTTGTCTCCATCTTGATCCAATTGTTTGCGCAGAAATCTCTGAATCTTCTATTTTTGTACTCTCATCCATTGTTAGACCTCAACCGCTTGACTTTCAAACCAGTCTCATTTTCCACCATGGCCTTCCATTTTCTGAAGGTATCAAAGACTTCTGATTTCTTCTTCAGAAAATAAACCCACACCTTCCTTGTAGAATCATCGATGAAGGTGACATAATATAATGAGCCTGCAAGAGATGGAACTGGAGATGGTCCCCATACATCAGTATGAACCAACTCTAACTTTTCAACCTTGGGTGTCTTACCAATCTTTGCAAAGCTGACTTTCTTTTTGTTTGCCAAAGATACAATCCTCGCATAGTCCGACATCTACATTCTTTAGATCCGGTAACTTCCCCTTTGACAAAAGTGTCTTTATCCCTTTCTCGCTCATATGGCCAAGCCTTTGGTGCCATAGGTTTGATTTTCCATCAGCATCTGCTACTGTAATGATATTCTCTACATTTGAGGTTGCATAGAGAGTACCGGTCTTCTTACCACGAGCAATGACGAGTGCTCCTTTGGTAATCTTTCATTCACAGTCTGAAAAGGTTATGCTATATCCTTCTTCATCAAGTTGTCCTACATAAATCAAATTTCTTTTGAGGCCAGGAATATGTCTCACTCCTTTCAACGTCCAGGTGGTCTGGTTTGGCAACTTTAATCGGATGTCTCCTTTTTCGACGATCTTCAAGGTTTCATCATCAGCTAGATGAACATTCCCAAAATCACCATTGACATATTTCTCCATGATTTCTCGGCATAGGGTGGAGTGGAAAGATGCCCCTGAATCCAAGATCCATGATTCAATCAGAGTGTTGACGCTTAGAATCATGGCATCACCTGTCTCTTCTGTCATGTTGACAGATTCCTGTGCACCGATATCTTTCTTCAATGCTCGACAATCTCTTTTAAAATGACCCTTCTTGCCACAATTATAACAGGTAAAATCTTTCTTTCCTGTTCTTGATTTGCCACTTCTGGATTTCGATCTGCCACGATTTGAATTTCTTTCTGAAGTTCTCCCTATGGACTCCGTGTGCAAGGCTGAGGAGGTTGATGCTTCACCCGATTCTCGCCGTCGAATTTCTTCGCTCAGTACCAGATCCCGAACATCGACGAATTTCAATTTACTATTTCCCGACGAGCTGCTAACTACTGTAACAGTAGCATTCCAACTGTCTAATAGAGATGATAAGAGAATTAAAGCTCGAACTTCATCATCGAATTCAATTTCCACTGAACTCAATTGGGTTGTGATTGTGTTGAGTTCATTTAGGTGTTGTGTCATCGATGCCCATTCCGTCATCCGCAAATTGAATAATCGCCTTATCAAGTGCACTTTGTTTGAGGCTGATGGCTTCTCTTACATACTGGAGAGAGCCGCCATAAGACCCGCCGTGGTCTTTTCCTTTGCTATGTTGAAAGCAACATTACGAGATAAAGTCAGTCGGATAACTCCGAGGGTTTGTATGTCGAGAAGAGCTCAGTCTTCATTCTTCATGCCCTCTGGTTGCTTTCCTGAGAGAGGTTGATATAGATTTTTCTGGTACAAAAAATCTTCGATTTGCATCTTCCAAAAGCCAAAGTCCGCACCATCGAACTTTTAAATTTTCACATTTCCTTCGTCTACAGCCATCGCTCCCACTCGAATCTGGTTTCGTTTGGATCGTTTCTGACAATTCTTGTGAACCACCGTGTATTAGAACACCTTCGTCGACAAACTCATATCGCCGACAAAATTTTTACTATTCACGGAATTCACTATTCACGTGAATAGTAATAAATAGTAACCTCACAAAAAATTGACAAAATTCACAACCAAAAGCTCTGATATCAGTTATTGAGAAATAAACCGAGTACGAGTAATTTCCCTATAACCAGATTAGTGAGAATGCGAAATAAAAGCGGAAAAAATAATACCCGAAATTGATAACGAAGTTCAGCCAATTTACTTACGTCTCCGGACTGCTGCAGATCTTTTACTAAGAAAAAAAATTTACAGGTGTTTACAAAACACTCACTACTCACAAGAAAGCTCTATAGTATTGGGAGAAAGAAATGATTTTTGGGATGGTTTTGAAGCTAAATGAGCTAGGGTATTTATAGTTAAAACTTAAGGACTTAATTTTGTAAATATCCTAAAGCCTAGGGATTAATTGTGATTATCCAATTATCATTTTTCAACAAACATCTACCAAACTTTGAAAAACTATTTTTCAAGGAAACATTTACCAAACTTTGAAAACCATTTTCAAAAAAATATTTATCAAATTTTAAAAATCATTTTTTCAAAATTGATTGCCAAACTTAAAAACCATTTTAACAATAATTTCAACAACTCGTTCCCATCATCTAAAGCAAACTCCTTTGTACCATCTTCGTCCGTGTTTCTCTTTTTAAATTATTACAAATAACGCATCATGTTGATGATTATAATATTTGATGTCAAATCTGTCTTTTTTTATTCGTGTAATCATCTTTAGGAGGCCTTTCCCTTTTAAAACACCACTATTGCAAGTTGCAACACACCCAAATTAACTTGGCGCAAACCATTTAACCAATATGTTTCATTGCACATTTCAAAAATCGTCCTCTGGACACACTTTCGTTTTTTGACTTAAAAGGTTGACATTTTAAGAATTAATATAGTTTGGGTGCCATTAGATAGAGAAAATATGAAATGGGTATTATTTTGATAAAATTGCCTAAATCTACTCATATTTTCAAAGCACAGTAGCAAAGCAACAATCAAAATAAAATATAGTGAAATTTTCAACCTTAAAGTATAATATAGAGTGACAAATTAATAATTTAGCCTGCTTTTTTATTAGTATAGGGACCAAGCATGTGCTTTTACCGTCACCAAAAATTTACATGTAGTCGTAAAAGTCTTCGCTTTCTCTTATTTCATATTACAGAAAAAAAGGGCGGGAAAGAAACAATGGAGTTGAAATGGATAAATGCATCATTGAAGAATATTCAACAATTCTAATGTTTTCCGGGAAAATAATGAACTGGGGAATCTGAAAGTTGAAAGTTGATATGAGAGTGCTACAATTAGATAATGATCTCACAGAAACATGGAAATGCTCGAAGCAAACAAAGAATTGACTCAAAAGCTCAAGCTGAGCTCCCGCTGTTAATAACATAATTTTTGTTCATCATATCGCATGTCACCCCTTCATGACATTGTGATTCCTTGTTTTGCTAACCTAAAAAGGCCTCGTGTGGCTCCCTCTGGCCCGGCCACACAGAAGAGCGTTCCGTGGGATCGGCAGTTCATCTCTCCATGAATTTGCAGACGAATAAACCCTGAGGTAAAACTGCTGCCCTAAATATTGTCTGGCCCAGTTCTCGGACCTTATATTCCACATCCCCACGTTGTCCAGAGCCACATAGATGGCGGTCCATGACCTCGGATACACCTGCACTCGAACATATCAACAAAACAGGCTTCTTCCAGCTGATGCAACCATGGAAACACAACTATCTTTATACTGCATTTGCATACCTGAGTAGTGCAGCGGGATACCGTGTCTCTCAAGTTGTAGACTTTTCTACTGGAGGGCGTCCATTGGCCTCCTTCCATCCTGATTAATCCAACATTTTTTAACGCGTTTGGTCCTACATAGAAACTTGAACCTAGAGAACAAATATTAAAAAGAAGTTTACCCTACAACAAAGAAGGAATAACCGTCGATATGCCATGACTGCACGGTGTCCTCCCAGTTTTGAAATACGATTTCGACATATTCTCGGAAGTTGGCTGCCATGACAGAAGTCTGAAAGTAGGCATTATTTCCTGAAGGAGGACAGGTAGGAATGCTTCCGAGGTTGAAGACTCCCGAAATCTTGAAGTAATCTGCTAGTTTTAATGGGGTATCTGGTGGAACATATGAGACACCATTGACAGCATACCTCTGCTTTCCATTAATATAAGAAGCAGAGTTTGCAACCATGATGGTGCGGCTTGGGGTGATCATTCCATTGTGGTAGGAGCCTTGGGGATTAGGTCGGGGTTCACTCGCTGTCAGGTTCCGTCTGATAAGGAAAAAAACTCATAAGCGAAATGTTTTTAGATTATATTATAGCTTCCAAAAAAAGGATGTAATTAATAAAGTACCGTATGGATCTCGCCTGCATGACCGATGGAGCAATTTGAATTGTGGGAGCCCCAGGAATTGGGCCATAAACTCCCATTTTAGAATTGCTATAGTGAAGAATGGCAGTAATTGTTATGCTTCACCAATATCGCACCATTTATCGAAACATTGAGTTAGTAAACTACATCTTCCAAAGTAATTGTTGTTTTACTAGGAGTCTAGGAAAATGAAATATATGAGTTTGGGTCTCCAACGTTTAACAACGCCAAAATCAGTGCAGACATTACCCTAAAACCATGAAGAAATGTGACAATATACAATCCATATTGTTGTAGATAAATAACAGTTTGCTTATGTGACTCATCATTTTTCATTCTCGATGACGAAAGCCCGATATTCTTCCTACAATTTAAAATTCAAACAAGTAATAAAATTTTCAAAACAACAATATTATTATTATAACTTAAACTTTTAAAAATATAAGAAATAAATCTTACGGAGTCAATTCAAGAGATGAAATATGAACATTGTCAATACATAGTATTTATTCTCAGATAGACATTTTATTGCAAAATCTTAAAAAAATAATTTTTTCTCTCAATCAACTATTTTTCTTCTCAACAAATCACAATACAAACCTTTAACCCTCAAATCCCTATTTATAGTTCCAAATCCAATGACCATAAACGACTAGTTTGTGGAACTCATCACACCCACACGATGAGTTCCAATGGACTACCTGTTATGGCCGTTAGAATCTACTCGTTCAAACAGAACTAATCACATGACGAAATCCATGATTTAAAAAATAGATTTATAATTATTAAATATTATTTTAATTACAAAAAATAATATATTTAAACTTTCTCGTCATGTGAGCATGGCGAATTCTAGTAAATCTATTAAAAAATTTGATCCCGTGGGACTTACACACCCATATTAATTAAAAAATAATATCCTAACAAACTCCTTATGTAGACGTGACGAATTTACCCTATACTGTAACAAATGTTGTAAATTGCAAATTAATGTTGGTGTTAATCTATTGGGCCAATAATTAATCCGTTTGAATTGTTGGTCAAAATTTTCCACGAAATCACTGCCTAAAAGAGGTTTATAAAATGTTTTCCTTGGCAAAAAAATGTACTTCCCCTCTTAATATTGTTGTCCTCTGTCGGTAACGAAAAGAAGACAGAATTACATCAGACCATTCTTAGGAAAAGGGTGCCATTAAATCACCCTCTACCATTCCTCTAAAACTGGGAAACATCAGGTTGAATTCATCTCGGCACAAGAATTAAACTCCTTCCACTCACACAAACTGTTCAGAAATGCTAAGAAACTTTTTGTTTTAACCAGAAAAGATTCTCTTGAACTTGGCCATAAAAGTGCCAAAACTGATCCCATTTCTCCTGCTTGATTGCATGGTGCAGACTAATCACACTTTCTGCTAGTCATCATCGTCAGAGATTTCTTTTTGACTTCGCACAAAATGATCTATTATGAATCAAATGCAAAAACAATGATACCTTTTCAAACAATATATATATTTCTATTTTCTTCCTCATCTAGTGGTCACAAACGAAATGAATAGCAAAATACAGAATGCTACAGTACTCGCACTTATTTGGCTGCTGTGGAAAGTGTTTAATTTTAGCCTTTCACCTGCACCATTTGCTTCCGTCGAGTTTAAAATCGTTCCCGTCTTTTTACTGCTTACCTTCTTACTGCAAACAGAAATCAAGAGTTCTTTGTTAGGAAGTAGGAACTTTATGCAATTTGCTCTAACTACATGATGATTTAACGGCACTTATAATGTAGAAGGAATGGATGTAAATAATAAAATGTCTCACCTTCCTGGGAATGCACAGCTCCCGTGACCTGTAAATATACAGCACAAATTTAGAAAAGAGAAAACATCTCAGATTTCTAATATAGTACGATGAAATCAGTGCTAAGAAAATGGAAGGAAAAAAAAGAACTGAGAACCAAAGGCATATATAGATTCCATTTGGACTAGTAAAACCTTTCATAAGATACAAGACGATAGATGACTGCAAACACAAAGTGTCATTTTCTTAGGCAACGTAAACATGAAGATGGGCCAGAGGCTTAGCAAGGTAATGCTTTGCAGTGGGGCTCACTAGGAACCAAGGGTCCAAGAAGAATTATAGTTCCCTACTTGAAGAAGAAAATATCATTCCACATCCTTTTTCCACCTTCCAATCACAAAAAGAACCCATGTGATTCTGACAGGTAGAAACTGTGCACCCGTTCTTTCATGGAAGTAACCTTTTTCCCCCCATTGAGTATTCCTACTTGCTTGATTTCTAACTTGGAAGTGCAATATTCCCACAACTTTACTTTCTGATAACTGGGATTTATATTTTAAAACATATCTACTTATGCTTAAGCAATAAGTTAGCTGTAAAGAATACATTGTTGTAGACTATGGTAAATGGACAATAGTTGGGGACTAAAATATCATATTCTTGCAGCTAAGGAACTGTATAAAAGGGAAGCACACAAACAAGACTAATGCTGAATGTCAAATATCCCCATTTCTGATTTTTCATCTAAAATAGTTCGATCACGACATAGGGCTGAGCACTTGTATTACTAGAAACCACTTAAAACGGCCATGAGAACAAATTCAAATCCATTGAGGGGCAATGTATAACTAAAAACAAATGTTGATTTGAGGAATGGATGTGGCGACACTTACTTGGGTCAGTGGTAGTTATCATGGCCACTCCCTTAAAGTCACAGGAACCGGAAGTTTCCCCTTCCTTCTGATAGTAGCTATCAAATGCATAAGAAGCATGATTCTTCACATTATTAGGCTGGTAGCAGCTCTCCCCAGGTTGAATCTCACTGCAATTTGACCTCCCAGGACCACAAGCCCAGTCCAGAGCTGTCTGCAATGTCTTTGAATCAACTCCATCCATTGCAATACAAAAGGTTTGGTTAGTTGTATCATTTGCCAAAAAGGTTCCACTTCCTGACACGTGAAGCAAATAAACTGGGGTTGAATTCGAATAAAACAATCCCCAATTCGCCTCTGATGTTGGGGGTGACCTCAAGTCCTCGTTGAACAACTCATATATATACACACTGGAAGTGATTTCTGGATGCAATGGGGTTCCACTACGATCTAAGACAAGCTTGATAAGATTCGAATTATAGGTATCTGCATTATCTTTACTAGCATAAGGCTCTTTTGAGTCCCCCTTCGAAGGCCACCCACTCTCACTAACAAGCACCACAACATCAGTAACGTTTAAATTCTTCATAGAAACATATGCGGCATCAATCATAGCATCAAGCACATTAGTGTAATGCAACAAAGTATTTGGATCAACCATTTCTTTAGACGGTGTCAATGGCTTAAACAAGGAATTATCCAAGGGAACCACACCTTTATTCTCCATAAACACATAATAAGGATAAAGGTTCATCATTAAAAAAGACCCAGTTGTTGACAAAAACTGAAGCAAAGGTACCATAACTGAAGTCAAGCTTTGGTTAAAGTAAGCCTGAGAAGGAGGAAAGGTATCAAGAATAATGGAAGCTGCATGGGGGGTTGAAACCTTGATTTGAGTATGCAAATTCGCAGCCACTAAAGCACTGTAAAGAGACTGAATTGCAGGAAGCAGCAAAGGAGCCGAGGACGGTACGGTCGTTAAAACCTCATCTCCAACAGCAATACCGGTGATGAGTGTTTCCGGGTAGTAAGCAACGACGTTTCGACCAACCCAAGAAGCCGCCGTGGTGTTGGATGAACCTATTGCCAAAAGCTGGTTATTTGGTACACTGATAATGACCCGGATCTTTGTCTTCGCCAAGGCTTTGAGTATATCTTGGTTTGCATCATAAAGTCGAATGTGCGAAATTCTTTGCACTTGCAAGAATGAAACCAACTCCGTTGGTGACAGCAGATCTGAGACATCCGTGCCTATGTTAACACCCACAAACGGTTCTTTATCTTGTTCTTGACTTTGCTGCTTAATTTCTTGGACTAAAGCAGATGACTTTGCTGCAAAAAAAAATTGTAAAATTGAAAAATATATTCTTTACAAATTGAACCTTTATCGGTTTCTGTGATTTCTAGTAAGCTAATTTCAACTGGGATTTTTAGAGAAATTACCTGTAGAAGGAACTGTAAAGCAGAACAAAACGATGATAATAAAATAAGTGATGAACTTAGAGTTCGCCATTGAAGAGGAGCTTCAGCTTTATTTCTGCATCCTCTGCTGGAAATCCTAACATTATCTTTGCAAGATTTCTATGGGTGGTCACTAGATTATCCCGTGGCATTTATATTGGTTCTGATTGGGATCTACATAAGAGGTCGACACTACAGTAAGAAGGAAGAAAGGTACTGACATTTATCAAAAGATTAGCAAATTCAAAGACTCTTTTAGGGGCTTAACTGGTTTTCTTTGCTTCCCCAAGGAGGTATTTTTTTTTCCAATTTCTAGCCATGCATTTACCAGAATACCCTTTGAGCCGACAAACTAAATTTGTTTCTCTGTGTTTGTTCTTTTAACATGTTGTGAGAGTTCTGCCCACAGGATCAACAATAGCACATTATAATTCTTGTGTTTGGTGAGCGTTACTTTGGGGAAAGTGCTAAGGCAATAGTTATTGGTTAGAAGCAGTGGCGGGTGAGGAGTGAGGAGGGGCACCATCGTAAATGAGGTCTGGTGAGTTTGAGATGTTTCTTGAAGGTTGATTAAACAATACAGGCTGGCGACTCCAGAGAGACGTCGGCAAGCTGCTCGCGGCGTTTTTAGCTGCTTTCTTTCCTTAGGCCCCGTTGGATAATGCTTCTTCAAAGTGTATTTGGCCCAAAAAATACCGACTACGAGAACCCTAGGCTATGACTCATTAGATTAATACATCTTAGGATGCATAAATTTGCTTTAATGATTCCAACCCCCAACTCCATAAAAATGTTATTTGCACAATTGGGTGGGAACAAAATTCCAGAAGAGCTAAGACAATAACGTGATGAACATGGAGGATACCGCCAAGCATCAAACAAAAACAACACAGCATCTCATCAGCTCAGGTACACCAATACACCATAACAAGCGACTACCGAGTCACGAGCATAATTCACATGTTGGGGTTGCAAATGTCTACCAATAGTGAATTATTTATTCTTTCCTGTCTCCTTGCTTTGATGCTTTAGATATTAGCATTTTAGGGTTGAACATTAAGTACTCAAATGTTGATCAATTTTGAAAATTAGGAAGGATTTTTAACCGTACACGGAAATTTTTTAATTAATTTCAACAAAAATCCATTGCATTTCCTTCTACTTTCTTTGGGAACTGCAGATAACTGGATTTTGTTCTTCCGTGCTTGTGGAAAAACAATGAAAACAGTTCTCTAATTCTCGAGTATTAATGATACTATATAAGCTCAGGTACTGAAGTTTCGGAGGAAAATACAGATTTTAATAGACAACTCATCAATCTCATATGTAGATTTTACAAAAACACACAAAGCTCATTTTGATGCTCTGGGTGCTGGAAGTATATGACAAAATCTGGGTTAATGAGTTTGTTTCTTGCTGAGACATGTTTCGATAGAACCCAACACTCGAATATATATTGAAAACCAGCATGTACCACTCCTCAACATTTGATTCTTGTCAATTCGACAATCCCATCATCGGAGTGCATTAACGAAGGCCATCAATGAATCAACATCCCTCCTCTCAGAGGCATACTTTATTGGCTTAGCTGAGTGTTTGGGGAAGAAGAGTATGGTGGGGAAGCTTCCCAACTGCAACTCTTTCTGTGCGTACTCCTTCTGTTCACCATCAGCTCTGAATTTCGCAACCTTCACGCCAGAGCCTGCCAACTTCTCAGCCAACGCAACATATGATTCTTCCATAGCCTGTTCAAAATTTATACATTGATCCGTCAGATTAAAACCCAAAAACAAACAACATTTTTCAACCTAATTCTGCACACTATGAAGCAGGGTTACCTGGCAATAAGGACACCATGGGGCATAGAGTACAACAATCCAAGGCTCTTTCCGGTTCTGCAACCTGGTCAAATTCTCAATTCCTGCCCTACTCAATGTGACCAAATTCTGGCTATTGAAAATGTCAGTATGAGCGGCAGCCCCATTTCCATTTCCATTAAGTTGAGCAGCACTGTGTTGTTTCAAGTTCCCTTTATGGAGACCACACTCCTTGGCCTTGGCATCCTCCCACCACCACCTTCCTTCCCTCTCATGTTGTCCTGGTAATACTGGTCTAGTGCAAGGCTCGCAACCGATGGATACAAATCCTTGGGAATGCAAAGAATTGATCGGTACATTCATCGCCAGGAGGAAGTTCCAAATGTCTATACCATCAACATTGGCAACCGGGTTCCACTTCACCAAGCTACCAACCCCACCATCCAAACCTTCAAAAACAGGGTCAACTTGAACAACAGGAACCTCCGATCGCGTTCCTGGAGACTGATCTTTCCTTTGACCAGTAATCCAAGCACGTAACCCCTTGAGTGCTCTCCTCAAAGGCCTCACTTTCCTAACTCGGCAGCATTCTTGGTGCCCGTCCACGTAAAATGAGAACAACCCTTTGCTCCTAACCAAGGCCTGAACTTCAACAGCATCCGGAAACATGTACTCGATACGAATCCCGTAATGCTTCTCAACCTCATCAAAGAATCGGTAAGTTTCAGGGTTCAGCCTACCAGTATCAAGGCTAAAAACCCTAAATGGTCTACCAGTCAATTTTGCATACTCGATCAAAGCAACATCCTCCGCCCCACTGCCAAAACAAAATTTAATTAATTAAAATATTCCATCACACTCAAATTCACCATAACATCAAACGAATCTAGCAATTTGAAAAGTAACAGTGGCACCAACACATTAAAAAATCGTATTTAATTTACACTTTAGATCCCACGGTGAAAACATTAGATGAAATTGCTTAGGCAATATAGGTTAATGAAGCTAATAAATTTTGAGGTACCTGAAAGCAATAGCGACGTCGTTTCCAAATTTCTCTAAAGCCTTATCCATGATTTCAAGTGGAGAAGCGCTGTCAAGTTCTTTGGCCAGTTTCTCAAAATCCTCCACCTCAACTTTTTCCGACACTTCTGTTAATCCATAAATAGTAAAACCCGATCAAACATCTATAATCAATATTAATTAACAACTAAAAAAATGAATAAAATTTTCTGCATTTTTACCAGGAGCAGAGATGCTTGCAGCCTGAGGGAGCAGGGAATCATTCCTTTTTGGCTCTGCGTTCACGGGCTTCACTGCGCAACGTTTTTGAGATAGATTCACCGTTGCATGGCGATCCGCCAGTCGGAATGAACAAATTTGCGGGACTGGAAAACCCAAACAAAAACATCAATAAGCCTGATTGATCCCCCAAAAAAAAATTTTGTTAAAAAAAATGAAATTAAAGTACCTTTGAGGTCTGAGGAACTTGAACGAGAAAAGCTGGAAACAGAAATCGCAGCCGAAGAAGAAGTAACAGCAAACGCCATCTTCGAAAATTTATACTTTTGTTTATAAGAAAAAAGGAAAAACAACAGTTTGGCTCCCCTGAGATTCTGGATTTTGTTTCCTGTGTTTTGCGTTTGAAGGAGAGGGTGAGGGAGCTAAACGATTAAATAGGCTGATGAAAGACGGGGAACCAGGTTCATTGAACCCGGACGCAATTTCGGATAAAATGAAATCGCTGACATGGCTGACCGTGGTTGGTTGGGTCTTAATATAGTTGATCATCGCTTCCGTCACGTGGTCAATGTAAAGACAGTTAAAGTTTGTATTTGGAGGCTGGAAAATGGTCCTGTTAATTTCTTAGATCCTTCCTTTTCTATTTTTTTCTGGTTATCCTTTCTTTTTCATTAATAATTTCTGACAAATTTAAATGGTGAGGAAAATGTCTCATTTCATTTTCCATTAAACATTTGCGAGAACCATAAAATTAAAGATTCTGAACAAAAATTCCCACTGCTTTAGCCTCCATTCAGTGATTTAGAAACACACATAATATGTGGTCAACATTATGAAACTTCACGTTTATCCTTTCGGTAGTGATATCCACATATACATAAAAGCCACTGTTTATCCTGGGGGTGTGCACTATCAGATATCGATATTATCCGATTAGAATTTTTGGATATCCGAAAATTTCAGTTACTTAAAGTAATGATCCGTATCTGATCCGAAAAAATCGGATATCCGAAATTTCGGATCGAATATCCAAATATCCGGATCTGATCCGATTTTGACATATATTATTGACCATCTCCTCCAAAACACCAACTACATTTTAACAGATATTGTTGACCATCTCATCGAAAGCAAACCGTCAGTTATTGGACTCTATGAGTGGCTTCAAGCAAAGGACGGAGCCGGAACTCGAGCTCTCTTGGGAAGCCTAAAGAGATTCTGAAAGAGGCTTACAAAATGAGTGGATGATATGCTTCTCAGACTGAGTTTTCGAAACTCCAGAGCCGAAGCATGCAAACACTGGTTTTATTGCAAAACCTTAGGTTTTTTCAAGCAATACATCGAACACTTGGTAGTACCTCTTCTCTCAAGTTTGTGTGTTACACAATAGCTGATAAACTTCAAACACAAACTTCGAAGTCAGAACAAAAACAACTCAAATGCTTATAGTTGAGAATTGAGAGACTCCCTAAAGGAGAAACTATTAGCTTAGCTTAGCCTCCATTCATCTGATAAGGACTTAATCTCTGCCTCAATCCGGTACAATGTCTCCCATATAAGTTCATCTTGGAACACACGAAAAGATTCGCGGGTAAAAATCGCAGCGGCATGGCTTTCAAGGTCGACCAGTTTTGTGATCTGGAAGGGCTTCGTATGGGAACTTAAGTAATCCGCTTTCAACTCGTTCATACGCATTCTACTAATTCCATCTTCAATTGCACGAACAACATCTAAATATGTCTTCTTGTGTTTCAGTGCAATAGCTAGTGAAGCATTCATAGACTCGCACCTTTGTGTTGAGCGAATATTGGCAAAGAAATGACCGGTTAGATATGCTTGTGCCCATAAGTGTCGTGTATTTCCCTTCTCAATCACCCATGGATGCTTTTGGACATTGAATTCTGAAACAACCGAACGCCATTGAATATCAAATTCCTTGGTTGTCCACCAGGAAGCCATGCATTTTGAGAATGTTGCTGTAAACTTTGGGTCACCAATGTTAGCTTGTGCATTGCGAGAAAGATGCCAAGAACATAATCTGTGCTTAGCATAAGGGATAACAGATTTGATAGCCCTCTGCATTGCCCTATCTCCATCGGTGACAACTGAAATAGGTGATTTATTCATCATGGCTTCTAAAAAATTCTGTAGCACACACTCGAAAGATTGAGACGTCTCGTCAGCGATTATGGCAGTGGCAAACACAATTGTGTTATGGTGATGATTGACACCAATAATAGGC